CGGTGAGTGTATAATCAGGTATTCAACTTCTCCCTCAGTGTTTACCAGCAGCTCCACTGAGTTTTACAGATATGATGAACAGCAATGACCGCTGAATCGAGTTCCTGGGTCGACCTTGTTGTTTGTTGGTGCATTATTCTTGTGGCTAACGGGGCGAATGTAGAAATACTTAATAATATTTAATGTTATCATTGTTCCATAAACATCCTTTCTATAGCCTCCGGGTACGCTCTTTCTCTCATGTATAACTGCTCTGCATTTCCTTTCAAAAACGCTTCATCGTCTGCAGTCTGTATTTATTTATTTATAGTGAACATGACATGAGGATGCAGCTTGGGAAATAGCTGCTGTGTGTTTACAGGAGTGCCGAGGGGTTTGTTTGTTACAGAGTGGGAAAAGGACAGGGGAAGATGACGGGGTTGTGAGAAAGTGATGATGATGGTGGGGCAAGGAGAGAAAAGATGAAGATGAAGAGAAGACGGCAAGAAAAAGGAAAAGACGGTGATACAAGGTAGTGGAGAAAGAATACTCAGACATTAATGCAGAGGGGCATTAGAGAGAATGATTAATGGAAAGTTATTAAGAGGAAGAAAGACCTACCATAGTTGTGCTTAATATTAAATGTGAACTGGGAGGAATTTGGGGCAGTTACCAATGACAAAATGAGAGCTTTGTACTCACTCAGCTGACAACGTGATGATCACTTCAGTAAATTATTTGGGCAAAAATGAAGCACAAACAGGAGCAGTGGTTGCTTCACTATTGTTGGGCAAGTTACTCTGCTAGCTTTGCTGTTGACTCCTGTTGTGTCAGTTCCAATTATAAGAAAGGAAGAAAAGAGTAGACTCTTTTCTTCCTTTCTTATAATTGGAACTGACACAACAGGAGTCAACAGCAAAGCTAGCAGCTCTGTGAGGCTGTACTTGAGCAACCTGCTAATCAGATCTTAGCCGGAATAAATGTTAGGACTTTAGATCTCTCCAAATCACAGATATGCTACATTTGTACATTTCATTTGTAGCTGAGTCAAAAATCGATAATAATAAAAATACTAACTTTGTTTGTCGAGCACTTTTGAGCTGAAAGTACAAAGTGCTTTCCAAGGTGAAGAAAATACAAAACAAAAGTGATACTAATAAAACATAAGCATATACAAATGTCTACACCAACATATACACTTAAACACGTAAGCATGCACACATACACACATGGCTGTAAACACATATACTCCCATACACACAATAAAGCCCCTTTTACACTGCCAGAGATTCCACAAATGTTGGGCCATTTTGCCGGCAAGCTGCGAGCATTTAGACACACAAAGCCGGATTGGCGAGTTGATCCGATGTGCCCAGTAGGGTAGACATATTGGCAGAACCCTTTTATTTTAAACAGACCGAGGTGCCCTTCTGCAACGGGAGGGGCTGTTGAGGACTTGTGGGAGGAGCTGTTGATGACACTGCACATGAGACCCACTGGCGGTGGATAAACAGGAAACAGCTGATAGCAGGAATTAGCGAGCAGCTAGTAGCAAGAGGGAAACACAAACCTGACAGACACTGTAAAGATGAGCAACTGGGGAGACAAAGAATTGTGCGCCCTCCTTGCCCACGCAAACGAAGAGGCCATTAACTGTCAGATGACGGGGACGGTGAAGAACGGGCCGACTTATGACAGAATCGCGAATGACTGACCAGCCGCAGCTTCCCTCCCACGTCACTGTTTACGTCACACGCTGAGCTACACGTTTTGTTACTTGCTCACGCCCCCCATTGCCCCGAAAAAGGCGCATTCTGTATAAATAAAAGTAGGCAGGCAGCATTTTGCCACACTCCCCGATTTTGTTTTTATACTGCCAATGCTGAAAAAAGACTGATTGGGCTTTCCTGCAAATTTGCACAATTCCTATTTAAAAGGGGCTTAAGTCTTCTCAACTGTCAGGAAAGGCCAATCTGTAAAAGTTAGTATTCAGATGAGATTTAAAGATGTGAACAGAGACGGCTGGTCTGATGCTCAGACCTGAGGGGCCTGTTTGAAGATATTCCTCAGCTGGTAAAACCAAGACTGGACTATGTTCTTTACATGTTGCTCCTAAATCAAATCACTGTCCAGAATACCACCCAGATTTTTGATTTTATGTTCACAGCGAGAGGGCTGACGAGTGGCTGAATTTGTTTTGAGATATGTTCGGGGCCAATGTTAGAACTTCTGTCTTTTTGGAGTTAAGTTTAAAAGAAGTTTTGGGACATCCATCTTTTTATGTCATCTAGGCAACTATAAAGAAAAGCTAATTTTCGGTGTCTGACGGTATAAAAGGTAGAGCTGTGCATCATCTGCATAGCTATGGAAAGAGATGTGATGACATATTATCTGTCCCTAACGTAACCTGCATGTCTTTGGACTGCGGAAGGAAGCTGGAAAACCCAAAGAAAACCCACGCTAACATGGAGAGAACATGCAAACACAACAGAGAGGAGTCCAAGCCGGAAAATTCATACATGTACCAAAGAGATGAGATAATTCAGTAAAAGCCAAACATTTCAACCTACTGGTCGCGCTAGAGGAAAAGTCAAGGGGATCAGAAAAGACAGTCGGCTTCGACCTCTGGGGAGTGTCAGCGTAAAATTTCATCTCAATGCATTCAGTAGTTGCTGAGATATCTCAGTCCGGAGCAAAGTGGTGGACTCACTTTATCATCCGTAAAGTCATCCTGCTTGCATGGCAAACAATAAATTTCAAAGGAAGGCTTTCTAATTTTAGAAAAGCTAATCAATCATCAGACTTTGGAAACTAACTCGCTGACATTAGAAAACAAGTTGCCCCTCCGGTATTAATCCTTACTGGCACTATGAAATGAAACAGCACTGAAAAGACTCATTAAATATGATAATGGTCTTGTTTGATATTGTGGTTTAACTGTACAGCACATGGTGGCTTACTCAGCACTGCCTCTCCTCCTACCTCTTTATCACTTACAGTAAATACCTGTTTGTTCTCTCCATCCATACACACAGTAATCCATCCGTGTTGTAAAGTACAGTAGATCTCTCCATCCTTTAATATTCCTCTGTGACTGCATCCATCAGTCTTACCTTGAAGTATATCTTTAGTCTGTACGTCACTCCTTCCTTTAGGGTGAAGGTCTTCTCCTTCAGAGCGCTCAGGTCTCCTGCACAACAACAATAAAACATCACCGATGGTCAGTATGACTCATAATGACATCACCATCTTCAAATGACTCACTGCATGATGACACTGCTGATTATTTTCACATAAATAAAGCAGAACTGCATCAAACCATCTGAAAAAATTGCTCATCTTCATCCCAGAAATGTCTTATAGTTTTTATCAGATAGTATTTCTGTGGTTTTTCTTTATCTCCAAACTGTATTTATTGAATATCAAAGCAAATGATGGACAGCATGCGGCATGTTGAGCTTCAATTAAGATTTCAAATAACCATAAATACAGAACAGATGAGAGAAAAAAGGAATATGATTTGCGTAAAGAAACTAAAACAAAATACACTCACAAATTTTGTCATCTATGAGGAATAAAAGGTGGCAAAGTTACTTCAAATAAATTATGTGAAAATACAGAATATGACTCGAAAGCTTTTCATTCTTGGAACTCATGAGCAATGCTTAGTTGAGTTTGATACAATAGCAGCTGGAAAAAAGCAACAGTATGTTTTGGAGCTTAGTGGTATACAATATTTTTAACGTGGCTCACCACATGATAAAATCATTCAAAGGTACATTCAGTTCAGGGGATTTGGAGCATTTTCCTCTTGTGTTTTTGACTATGTATAACTGAAGTCACACTTCGAAGGTTAACTGTGGTATTTTTCAACCTGGACCCTGTTTTCCCATGTATTTCTGTCTAAAGCCCTGTTTCCACTGAGCAGTACGGTACAGTTCCATTCAGTACGCTTTTTTCCCATTTCACTGTGAAAGTTGTGGATGGTACCAATAGAGCTGTTCTGTACCGTCCCCATGTTTGGTCCCCCCTCTGTTGGGGTACCTAGCACACAGATCTGGTACTAAAAGGTGGAGCTGTGAACACTGCAGTCTGATTGGTCAGTAGAGGACGGTCACTCTGCTCAAGGCTGAGTTGTGTCTGGTTTTGTAATTCCTTTTCATATTGTGGCAAGTTTTACATTAATAAACTAAACTAAAAAAATAAAGCATGTTTAGCAGCAGCTGGAGTCTGAGGAAAAATATCTCAATTCACTGGGCCGACTGCCGGCAACTTTGAAGGTGGAACATTAACTTGTAATGTTACTCAGTGCATGAGTTGAGGATGTATATGCAGCACACCTTAAATTTTAATATGGCAACTCTGACCATGAATTTGCGCTTGGATTATGTGAACTGCATATATTCTAATCCTCACGTGGAGAAAAAAAGCGTCACAGAGCGTTATTGCTGTTGGCTCCAGCAACACTAAACCCCTGAGCTTGCCTGAGAAGGACTAAATGCACACACCTAGTATTCTAAACATCCCATCAGGACACTCTCACTGTAGCCTGTTTTATTTTGTTCTGAAAATGTCGTCGTGCAGCCTCGTTCTGTGTACGATAAACAAGGTGCAGACTGATAAAGAAGGAAATACAGTGAGTGCTGGACTGAGCAGTGAGTGACAACAACAGAATCAGAATCAGAAACACTTTATTGATCCCAGAGGGGAAATTATTTATGTTACAGGTGCTCCTTGTAAGAGAGGAAAGATACGTGAAAATATAAGAAATTTAAACAATAGTATTTACAAATATATAGTTAAATAAACAGGAANGTGTTCACTCTTCTAGTTATCCAATCAAACTCCGCCCAGTTCTCTCTCAGCCAATCAGGATGCCACTGCAAAATTTTAAACCTGCGCTCTCCTCTGCTGCTGTCAGCCGTCATTTTAGGCAGAAGTGACACGCCCTCCTCCACCCCGTCCACCTCCAGCCATCGTATCCAGAGTCCAGGACGAGCTGAACAAAGGTCCATTCCTCTACTCATCCAGATCATCAGCACTTCTCCATCTTCTCATCTCATCTTCACCACCTCTACCACCACCAGTGTCTAGACCCCCTATTCAGCTATGGATTCATCATCCTCCTTAAATCATACCATCTCGATGGGGTCTTTGGGGTTGATAGGGACTTTTCACATTTTTAAATCTTATGTGCACATGTTAATAGATTTTCTTTTTACCATAAGAACAAGTCTCTCATATTGATGCAACACTCAGCACTAAGCTTTTTGACTGGACTCACATCAATCTTGGGTAGTTCGTAGTATCTGTATTTGCCTACTTACATGGACCATGTTTGTGCCCTCAGAGTTTTAAGGCCTCCATGAGTTGCTACAGCCTCTGCCGCATCTCACACAGTATTTTTCATATCATGTCGCTCCCTCTGCGGCCTCCTTTACACTGACAACACACCAAGCAGTGACGAAGTGCCATGCGATGTCTATGGAAAGCTGCAGCGGCCGTGTGATTCTGTGGGAAAGTGCTGCCGGACTAAAAGCTGGGCAGACTTTGCAGCAATACCTGCACCTGTACACAGAGTCCTGTGACTGCTGTGACATGTTGATGTATGTTACAAAGGATTTGTTCCTGCCTGAAACACATGAACACGCCTCCTGGCCACAGAAAAATGAGCCACACTTCCTCACTGCTTGGTGTGTTTTCAGTGTTACTCTTTGATGTTCTGACATGTATATCCACAGTTCCTACTGAGCATTCACATATTTCAACTCTTTGGGGACGTCTGTTTGACAGCTATTGGATGTTTGTCATTATGCATTGTATGTGTATATCATATTTCCCTTTGTGCCACAAACTGACTTCCTTTTATCGCCTGTTTTTGCTGATACATGAAGGCAGGGTGGGAGAAAGGAAACTGAAAGTAAAAGGAAAGGTAGACTGGTCATCCAGAAAGCGCCGTCGTGTGGACGCCTCTGCATGGACAGGTTATAGATATAGAAGAATCCTGAAGAAGGCTATAAATGCAGGGACAGAAGGCAGAGAGACGGGGGAGCCCCATCAGGACACCTGCATTAAACAGACAAGAAGAGAAAAAGGAGGAAGAGGAGGAGGAGTAGAGCCTCCTGACTCGGGCCGTCGCGAGGCTGTTCTCGCAGGACGAGATGGAGGAGGGTGAAAGGGAAAGGAAAAGAGGGAGGTGGAGAACAGGAGTGAAAGAAGGGAAGAGATCATCTCTCATGCTCTCTCCCTCTATTCATTCCAGTCCTTGGTGATGTCGAGGTTCCACTCCCAGTCCAAGCAGACGTTCTTGTCGTCGTCGATGAAGTGGGATTTGACCTGATAGTGGCCGCGTGACATCATGCCTTTGGGTGCCTCCTCAACCGGGCATAGAAACTCGATCACCTCTGCCTTGGGGCCGTAACTGCCCACCATGTACGTCACCTTGTCCACTGCAGGGAGACAGAAAATGGACACTTGGGAGAATGCTACTGACTAATGAGACAAAAAGATGTTTGTGGCTCCAGAGGGAGCTGAGTGAAGTCTAGTGAACTGCCTCGACCAGAGTCTTCATCAGGGTGTAATTTTAGGTCATAAATGTTAACTGTGTTGATGCTACTTTTCCTCCACTGCAATAATAGATGCACAGCACACATGATGGAGGCTTAGCTGCATCTGAAATCATCTGTTCTTTGGTCAAACTGCAGGGCAGAAATGACGAACATGGACACTGAGTGATGTTCAGTTGCTTCATGTGTTCTTGTCACTTTACATGTGATGGAGGCTGAACTGAACTTACCTGTAATTCCTTTTCTGGAGGTCACATGATGGTACCGCAAGCCAGCAACGATTTCTCTGTTCACCTGCAGACACACACACACACACACACAGTTTCATCAGATCTCCGAATCTGTCATTGACTTGTCTGTCAGTTACTGATAAAACTGTCACCTCAAAGTCAGCATAAAACTAGAGTGAAAGAATTCATCAGTCAGTGTGTGGTACATTACTTCCTCTGTGACTTTAAGTCCCTAGTGTGGATACTACATTTCCCACAGTGCAACGTAATAGTTTCTTTTATTACACTGCTCCTGCCGTCTTAATGCCCTCTTCCGTCAAACCTCCGTCTTCAGATTTTAAAGCAGGCTTTCTACTCAATATTGAAATGTCAAACCTAAAACCGAGATAACAACTCTGGATGACATCAGTATGATGACATCATACAACCATTTTCACAGGCTGAGCAGTACTCGTAGTGATGACTAAACTCAACTGGTTGGTTGGTTGGATGGGTGGACAGAGATAGATCGATAGATAGATAGATAGATAGATAGATAGATAGATAGATAGATAGATAGATAGATCTACATTTGTCTAATATAAATACCTTTCTTGTATATTGATTTCCATGCTTTTAAGAACATCTCAGGCAAAATGCTCACACACACAGTGAGTGTATGTGAGCATTTTCTTGTTCGAGGTGAGGTTGCATTAAAAAAAAAAGAAAAGAAAAGAGCACAGTGAAGCCATCTGTCCAGCAGGTGTCCTCACAGCAGAGCAGAGTCAGTCACTCAGATTTTTGGTCAGTCTCAGCACATCTCTTTCTCCCCACAGAGCCAAGTCCCTCGAGTACTCCCTCTGCCTCTGCCCACACACATCACACGCTTTCTTTATAGCTGCATTTTGAGTCCCCAGCTGTGCTTCCTGTACACACCCAACTGTGCAGCCACTTTCTGCCCCAACACCATCAAGTCTGCTGACGACACAGCTGTGGTGATGACAATGAAAAGGCCATCCTGAAAGAAGTAGAGGATCTGACCTGCTGGTGTCAGAACAACAACCTACTCCTGAACGCTGGCAAAACTAAGGAGATGATAGTGGAGTTTTGGAGCAGCTGCAAGTACCTCGATATTCACTTCACTGAGGCCCTGACCTCAGACGCCTGAGGAAGTTCCAGGTATCGCCTCAAATACTGAGGACCTCCTTTTGCCTTAATTCTTGGTGTCACAGATTCAACAAGGTGCTGGAAACATTCCTCAGATATTTTGGTCCATATTGACATGATGACATCACACAGTTGCTGCAGATTTGTCGGCTGCACATCCATGATGAGAATCTCCCATTCCACCACATCCCAAAGGTGCTCTATTGGACTGAGATCTGGTGACTGTGGAGGCCATTGGAGTACAGTGAACTCATTGTCATGTTTGAGATGATGTGAGCTTTGTGACATAGTGCGTTATCCTGCTGGAAGTAGCCATCAGAAGATGGGTACACTGTGGTCATAAAGGGATGGACACGGTCAGCAACAATACTCAGGTAGGCTGTGGTGTTTAAACCATGCTCAGCTGGTACTAAGAAAATCTCCCCCACACCATTACACCACCAGCAGCAGCCTGAACCGTTGATACAAGGCAGGATGGATCCATGACGCCAAATTCTGACCCTACCATCTGAATGTGGCAGCAGAAATCCAGACTCATCAGACCAGGCAACGTTTTTCCAATCTTCTATTGTCCAGTTTTGGTGAGCCTGTGTGAACTGTAGCCTCAGTTTCCTGTTGTTAGCTGACAGGAGTGGCACCTGGTGTGGTCTTCTGCTGCTGTAGCCCATCTGCTTCAAGGTTGGAC